AGCAGCTGTGGGGATCTCCAAACAAGTTTGATTATATCGAGCCACGTACTTGCGCAACGATTCCTTCTCCCCTGCCTCATGGCCATCAAAGTCAGGTACGTCTTCTCCTGAGCCACCGCACTGGCATATTGGGTCATCAGCTTCTCCGCGAAATCATTGAAATCCGCGATCAATCCATGAGGGAGCTGTTGAAACCAGTCGAGCGTGCCACCTCTCAAGGTCGACAAAAATGCCCTGCAACTAGTAGAATCAGAATAACCATGCAACACAACCAAGTTCTCAAACGTCTTTACGTGCCTCGATGGGTCAGAGGTCCCATCGAACACCAAACTCATGTCCCTGAAATTCGCGGGTAATGGTGCAGCCAATATTTTCCTCGAGAACGGATGTCCTCGAGCACGCCTCTCAGGTCGACCATCCATCTTGGCCTGCATCTACCTCACCTACTCCGCGAGTCTCTCCACCTCTCAATCTCGGAGAGCTCCATCTCCCCTACAGCTAGACACGTCCTCCTCTGCCATCATCAGCCCAGCAGCCACTCGAGAAAAGCTTTGGGTGACCTGCTGGACCACTTGAGCCGCCGCGTTGGCCATCATCTGCTTCATCTCCTGTCTAGTCATCACCACCTGTTGGCCGAGGCGCTGCTCCTCCACCTGCGGCGGTGCTGCTCCCTGCACCACCGCTCCTTGTTGCGGCGCCACAGCCAGATCTGGCTGCAACGGCGTTGGGATCGCCGCTCCCTAAGTTGTACGGGCCTCCTGAGCTCGGCTTGAGCCCACATCAGTTTCCAAATGCACCGACGTGACTCCCACACCTTGTGGAACAGGCGTCGGAGTCACCGGTGTAGGCAAGGGTCCGGAGAACCCCGGAGGGGAGCCTGCTCTGAACGGCCTCGTCATCCACGCCTCGTCGAACGACGCTTGCAAATCTCTCCTAGGAATTCCGTCCGCCATACCGAGCTTCAGGAATCTCAGCACACCACTTTTTGAACGAAAGTCCCACAGACGGCGCCAAATGGTAACGCAAAACACTCCGACCGGCTTGACATCGACTCGCCTCCCTCCTCCTCGCCAGTAGAACGTCGCGTACCTGCAAAGAACTCTCACACCGGGGGGGATTTCTGGTGATGGTGAAGAGCCTCCGATGCTTAAGTCAGTGTATATTTCACTCAATTCTCCAAAGTATGGATAAATCGTAAGTCACAAGAAAGGGCTCACTCTTATATATATAGGAGTGAGATACCTGCCCTAGGAGCTGTCTGGATTTGGTGAGCTGTCCTACCCACGCTGCCCGTCCGTACACACACAGTGTGCGTGTGTCAGGAGTGTCAGAGGTGGTTAACGCCACTGTCGCTCTGCACCAGTGTAATCTCGCCACGTTCCCCTCTGAGCAGAGGGTGATTATTCTCCTGCGGATTCTGTTGAGATGTTCTGACAGAGTCCACGCGCTCTCTCGCGTTCAAGTGACGCCCTCGATTGCTCTTCACCCGCTGAGTGCTCGATATAACCGGGCCCTATTTCGCTAGGTCGATCATCGACCACATCTGCTATCGTGCTCGATCACTTCACTTTTGGCCGATTATTGCTCGACCAATACGATTTTCCCAACGTCAAGCTTCGTGCGATCAACATGGTAAATCGGTTTATTCCTTAGGCATATAATATCCCATATCACATGCTGAGCAAAAATACGTTCTTGAAATATAAGCGATTAATTTTAGGGTGACAACGTTTCGCCTTTCTCCTGTCTGCTTCTTTGCTCCAGACCATAAGCCTGGCCTTCTCCATGGCGACCTCCAAAAATGGCTCCCACCAAGGGTGGTTGGAAGGAAGCGACTTGTCACCATTCCACCCATCGGGATCCGAGAGAATTTTGGTAAGCCAAGCCTTATCCCATGAACCAGTGAAGCCTTGGGCCTTGGCCTGGGCTCGGGTTCTCATGGTCATCTCTTTGAAGTACTGGGGGAAAGCTGGAAAAATCTAGGTTAGGAATTGGGTGGAATGCTTGAAGTACGCTAGCAACTCGGTCCAATAATGGTTGACAAATCTCGCACCGGGGAGCGAGGAGAGAAAGGAGACACGGTTTTGCTCGCGGGCTTGAGCAATCCGCTGGTCCACGAAAAGACGAATTTTACACAACTCGATGTCTTTGGCAGCAAGCTAAGCTTTCAGCTCGGTCTCTCGAGATGCCAGCTGGGCGGTGAGTTTTTTCACCTCTTCTCTTTCGAGGTCGAAGGCCTCCTGAAGGCTGGCGAGCTGGGCCATGCCCTTCTCCACACATGCTTAGTTATAACGTGCCACGTATTTCCTCAAAGATTCTCCTTCCTCTTGCCCCATCGCCATCAGGGTAAGGTACGTATTCTCTTGGGCCACCTCACTAGCATTCTGATTCAGAAATCTCTCTGAAAAATTCGCAAAATCCCTCACTGACCCCAGGGGAAATTGGTAAAACCAGTCGAGTGCTCATCCCCTCAATATCGAGAGGAACACCCTGCAACTCACTGGATCAAAATACCCATGCAATACTATCATATTCTCGAATGATCGCACATGCCTCGACGGGTCGGTCGACCCATCATATGCCAAGTTTGTCTCCCGAAAGCTGGTTGGTAATGGTGCTTCCAGGATCTCCCTTGAGAAGGGGTGTTTTCGAGCTCGACCTACCGGTCGACCATCCACCCTGTCCTGCAATTAACGCAACTTTTCGGTCATTCTTTTCAGTGTTCGGTCTTTTGGGGCTCTGTCTTCTCTAATCGGCGCAGTAGCGGCATGCGAGGTATGGTGTGTGGCCTGCTGCACTTCCCCTGCTGCGACCACATTAGCAATCATCCTCTCCATCTTCTCCCTAGTCATCACCACCACCTGTTGGCCTGCTCGCTCCTCGTCCGCCCTTGGTTGCTCCACCGCCCCAACTGGTTGAACTCCTGCTAAATCTGGTTGTGGTTGTAACGACGCCACCACTCCTTGCGGTGCTCGAGCCTCCTGAGCCCAACTCAAGCCCACCTCAGCTATAGGAACCACCGATGAACCCCCAAAGCCCTGAGGAGGAGGCATCAGGGTCATCAGAGTTGCAGAAGGTCCAAAGAAGCCTGGAGGAGGTCCAGCTCCAAATGGACGCGTAGTTGTCCATGCATTATCAAACGTACGCTAAAGATTTCTTCTTCGAATTTTGTCCTCTATGGTGAACACAAGATTTTGTCCGCTATGGTGAACGAAGTCCCACAGAAGGTGCCAAAATGGTATAAAAAAGACCTCCGACCGGCTAGAACGAGCTGGAAATGCCTGGATATTGAGCTGGTTGCAGGCTAAACGTCCTCGAACCTGCAAAACTCTTATATTGAAGGGGTCTCCAGTGAAGAGCCTTCGATACATAAATGAGTATGTGTAGAAGATGAAATGCAGAGAGGAAAAGCTCTCTGTAATATAAAATGAATAATAGAGAATGTAATGTGTTTCAAGGTATACCTTACTTCTCTATATAGGAAGCTGAAACCTTAGGGCCCAAGTCGGGCGCGTGAGCTCCCTGATATCTAGCGCGTGAGCTACCTCAGTTGTCAGAGTTGTCAGAGCTACCCGGGCTATCAGAGGTGGTTAGGAGGCGTGGACCACTCAGGTGATCGATGCCACGTGGTTTTACCCATGTGGGGAGGGGGGGTTTAATTCCCCTAAGATTCTTTCTCATCCTCTCAGTCCTCTTCATAAGATGGTCCAACCATGCTTTTAACCTCGATTACCTTGAGGTGAAAACTCCTCAATCGTCCTGTTATCCTGCTCACCTGGTCAAAGGATCGACCAGGTGCTCTTTCGAGTTGAACATCTCTCGAGCCATTCTAGCCCCTAGTCGACCCGCTGATGCTCTCTTTATCTTCAACGTCTTCTTCGACCTGATGCTCTTTCGTCCAAAAAGGTTCTCGTTCCCTACTCGACCTCATGACTAGCCCGGTTCGGCTCAGACACCTCTCCAGTCTAATCGACCTTGTATGGTTATCCCATATCACCTTTGCTCAGTTGCTTTCTGTGCTTAGCCTTTTCAGCTTTGCCTACTACAACTTACCCGCCATAAATGATTAACTTAACACTATTTATAACTAAACATTCCTGGTTACTATTCCCTACTGTTCACCGAGCCATATTGCATAGTAAAACGGAGTGACGGGCATTAAAAGAGGCGTGGCTGACTCTAAATGATGATTATCAGTCATTAAATGCTGATTGATAGGCCCTTATCGAGGACACACCGGTTTCGGGGTCTCGTTCTTTAGGCCCGAACCACCTATCGCTGAGGTATGGAGCCAAGCTGAGTGTCACCCCCCACGGGATTGATCTGCTATTCTTTCGCGAGCCGAGCTAATCCACTTTGTTGGGGGTTTAAGCCTTGATCTGCTCTTACCAACTCGGATGCCAACATAAGATTTTCATATTTTGGAGAAATTTTAAGATTTGGGGTTTGATTTTGAGTGGGATTTGTATAAAATTTTTTGTTTAGAAATCCCAACAAATCCTAAAAAATCTTACAAATCTTAGTATGAAATAAGTTAAATACCTCATGATTTTGTAAGATTTTTCAAAATCACAAATGAATGCACCATGACTTTTAAAAATCTTAAAAAATCTAAATTAAATATATTAGAATTTTTAAAATTATAAAATATCTTCAAAAATTCCAGTTGAATACAAAAATCTAGGCACGGTTTTCTCTTGAATCAAATTTTAAAAGTATAGGCTTCTAGAATCGGTTTTTAAAAGTCTAGGCCCGGCTTATTCTTGAATCGATTTTTAAAAGTCTGGGCATCTAGAATCGGTTTTTAAAAGTCTAGGCACGGATTTTGGGTGTCAAAAGTTGTACATCATTATTTATTGGTTGTCAAAAGTTATATACATCATTATTTATTGAAAGATGTAGGCGTGAAAATAAGTGGATCATTAACAACTGGTGAGTGATTGTACTATTTCACTTCTGCATTAATTGTTAAGTTGGTATAAAAGAAAAGAAAAATGTGTGGAAGTTTAACTTTCATTCATGTAAAAATAGTTAAACACAAGTAAAAAAATTAACACACAGTAACAAAAGATGTTGATGCCTTCACAATATTACAGACGATTTATGTTATTACAATAACTTGGCAACACTCGACGTTATTATAGAATGATATTCAAATTAAGGCAATCACATTTCACATTACGGAAGCGGTGACGGAAAAATAATAATATAATATTGCACTAATAATAACACGTCAAACATGAGACGAAGAAAATAAAGAAAAAACAGGCAAAGGCGGATACAGCGTTGAAATTGATCAATTGATGGGGACGCTGTGCAGGACAACGGTCTCCACCGTAAGGCCAGGCCCGAACCCGAAAAGCACCCCCCATTCCAGCCCCTCCCCCGTGGACCCCACCCCCTCCTTGGCAGACGCCTTCCTCATCTCGTCTAGTATAAATAGCACGCAGGCGCTAGACATATTTCCGTACTCCCCCAGCACGTGCCTCGTGGCCCTCAGCTTCTCGGGCTTGAGCCCGAGCTTTTCCTCTACCTGGTCAAGTATTGCCGGCCCTCCCGGGTGAGCTATCCAGAACACCGAGTTCCAGTCCGAGATCCCGAGCGGATCAAACGCCTCCTTCAGACTCTTGTCAATATTCTTTGATATGAGTCCGGGCACATCCTTCAAGAGGTGGAACGTGAGCCCCACCTCCCTCAGGTGCCCGTCGATTGCCCCGTGGCTGTCCGGGAGCAGCGTCTGCGCAGCCGACACGACCTGGAAGAGCGGGCGCTCGACTCCGACAACGGGGTCAGAGCCGACTATGATGGCCGCGGCTCCGTCCCCGAAGAGCGCCTGGCCGACGAGGCTGTCGAGGTGGGACTCGGATGGGCCTCGGAAGGTGACTGCGGTGATTTCCGAGCAGACGACGAGGACGCGGGCGCCGGCGTTGTTCTCGGCGAGGTCCTTGGCAAGGCGGAGGACGGTGCCCCCAGCGAAGCAGCCCTGCTGGTACATCATGAGGCGGCGCACGGAGGAGCGGAGCCCCAGGAGCTTGGTGAGCTGGTAGTCGGCGCCGGGCATGTCGACGCCGCTGGTGGTGCAGAAGACGAGGTGGGTGATCTTGGATTTCGGCTGGCCCCACTCCTTGATGGCCTTCTGGGCGGCCTCTTTGCCCAGCTTGGGGACCTCGGCCACCACCATGTCCTGACGGGGGTCAAGGGATGGGGCCATGTACTCGCACATCTCTGGGTGCTCCTTCAGGATCTCCTCTGTCAGATACATGTAACGCTTCTTTATCATCGACTTCTCGCCTGCGTACTCATGATTTAGTTATAGTAGGCAGAAAAAAAAAATAAAAAATAAAAATAAAATACTAGTGGCTGGAGTTTTTAATGAATATATATACTCACACATGCGCTTGAATTTTTCCTTGAGGTCCGTCATGTGTTCGCTGTTGGTGATGCGGAAGTAGTAGTCGGGGTAAGTGCTCTGGTCGACACAGTTGGGAGGGGTGGCTGTGCCGATGGCGAGTATGGTGGCCGGGCCCTCTGCCCTCTGAGCTCTTCGGATCTCCTCAACGCTCACCATGTTAAAATTTATGTTGGCCTCTCAGAAGATATGAGTGTGTGTGGGTGTGTGCTATCAAGTGTTGTGTGTGGCTATGATGGATGGATGGATGGAGGTATATATATATTGGGCTGGGCACAAGGGTTCTGGTAGCTGAGATCACGTGTAGCGTCAACAGGCTTGAGAGTGAAGGACAGCACGCTACGTGGCCGGGCTAACATTCCACATGCCTTACCGCCATTTTCTCCCCCTACCTAATTTCTCACTTATGTTAAAAGTTAAAACCCAGTTTCGTCCCAATATATATTTTCACCGCTCTGATACACATTTGTTCTTTTCAAATCAAATCCCAACAATTCTACGATGATATTTACTTAAATTAATTTTAATTTTGTGCTTATTTCTTAAGCCACACTATGAAAAACATAGAGGGGTCGTGGGGGAGCACATCTATAAATTTGTGGGCCCTTCTCGTCTGTCGAAGTTTGTGAATTCAAAACTCCCAAATTGATCTTTTGGGATAAAATGCTTAAATTCGGCCACACATTATATAGCGTATTCGTTCGTCTTAATTGCTTTTGTTTTTCCAAATTAAATTATTAAGTGTAATTTTTTATTTTGATTTTTGATTTATATAATTATTAAGAACTCAAATTATTACTTCAGTTGGATAGTTCCTGTTGAAATTTGGCACGCTTTTCTTACAGTAATTGTATGAGACCTGGATAATTGTGATTAAGAACAGTAGCTGAAAAACGATATAAATTAATGTGAAACAAAATCAAATATAAATTGTACACAAACTTGAAGTTCAAAAGAAATTATTTTGAACAATAAGGGATTAGAAATATCGTTTTAATTAAAACTAGGTGGGAGAAGAAACTAGGGTTGGTTTGAGATGAGTTTAGAGTAAAACAATAGAGAGAGAGGAGATATTTAGTTAGGAGAATATATTTTGAATTCACCCTACAATTGAATTACACTTTCTTTTCACATCGTATTTTCTATACGTTTTTTTATTTTTCATCCGAAACCCGCAAGAAATATTGCACTATGATCATACAACATCGCACAATCGATCACACAATAGTCGCATAATGACCGCACAATTGATTCGCACTTTGTGGGTGAAAAGTATAACTTTTCAAGTGAAAAATTCAATACATTTGTATATAGGGTGAAAATGCACTTT